AGATTAGGCTCTCTGTCACAAGTTGACAAAAACTGTTTTGGAAATTTGTATCTTGGCTTCCTGTATATAAGCTGTTTTGGCCATGATGACAGGCCCTTTATCAGTCTGGGTTGTTTTTAAGGCTGAATATGCCTTTCCATTTTGCAAGACTGAGATTGAAAAGAAACAGCAACTTTTACATTACAATTTCAGGGTAGGTATGATGGCAGAAACCATTTACATACAGGTTCAGAGCAGGGCCGCAGCCCTCAGCTGGAGTTTAGGAGCTATCCTTCTTGTGCTCTGCATCTGTATGTTCTGGTATCAGCTTGGTCATTGTGTATTGTCTTGGAAATATTCCCTCAGTCTTAGAAGGGAGAAAAAAAGCTTTAAGGTCTTCATACAGCTGCACTGTATTTAGTTGTGAACTAGGGTAGTAAGAAAGACCATGGGAGAATACAGACACTTCAACTGAGCAAAATATGCGGATGGATAAGTTGAGAACATTACTGTGGATTGTGGATTGTAGCATTTAAATTTGAAAAAGTTTTGTTTTTTCCTTCTTTAAGGAGCCAGGTTCATTCTTCTTTGAGGAAGGAGGTGTTCCTGAAGCCCAGAGCAGAACACGGAGGCCTCTGCAGAAACAGGCACTAGGGGTATGTGAAATGGGCAGTACTCAATTTGGATTCGGCCCAATTCAGGAGCAGTGACTTGATTTGCTGATTCGGATCACTGTCCTAATTTGATTAGGCTGAATCTGAAGATTCAATTCTGATTTGGAGAATCAGTAATTTAGCCACAGACACAGCTTTATATGTTTTTTCTATGTATTTTCAGGTACCAGGCGCAGCTTGTGAACGCTGAGATGGTCGGGTGGATGGAGCGTCCCCTATGCACTCAGTGGCGGACCCCTGCTGTGCCTCCTGGCTTGGTGATCGGCTGCGGGAGGACCCTGGGTGTCCCCTCAGACCCAGGAGGCACCAGTCACTGAGCCAGGGGGCAGAGGAGGTCCCCTGCGCTCTTGGCAGCAGACCTGGAAGTGGACCAGAAGTACTTTTGGTCCACTCCTGGATCCGCTGCCAAGCATGTGGGGGACTCCCCAACAGTCCCATGGGATGCTCCATCCACCCTACTATCTCAGCATTCACAAGCCATGCCTAGTACCTTGAGGTATGTAGAAAACAAACAAACAAAAAAAACCAACCACATATAAAGCTGTGTATATGGCCGAATCATCAAATCTCTCCGAATTGAATCGGAAGCCTCTGATTCAATTCGGAGAGACTAACGGGTCATAGATTCATAGACACTAGGGCTGGAAGGGATCTTGGAAGATCATTGAGTCCAGCCCCAGGGGCAGGAAGTCAGCAGGACTTCCATAGGATCCCCGCAAGATAAGCATCCAAATGCCTCTTGAAGGGGTTCAAAGTAGGTGCTTGAACCACCTCTGGCGGCAGTCTATTCTAAACCTTGGGGGCTTGGACAGTAAAGAAGTTCTTCCTTATGTCCAGCCTGAAACAGTCATGGAGGAGTGTGGCCCTTTGACCTTGTCATCCCTTAGGGCGCTCTGGTGAACAAACATTCCCCCAGATCCTGGTGAGCACCCCATTAAGCTTATAGGTGGCCACCAGATCGCCCTTGAGCCTGCGCTTTTCCAGGCTGAAGAGTCCCAGGGCTCTCAGCCTCTCGTCATAAGGTCTGTTTTCCTGACCTCTGATCATGTGCATGGCTCTTCTCTGCACTCTCTCAAGCTTCTCCACATCCTTTTTGAATTGTGGAGCCCAAAACTGGACGCAGTACTCTGGCTGCAGCCTCACCAAGGCCGAGTACAACAGGAGAATGACATCCTGGGATCTGCCTGAGAAGCATCTATGGATGCAACCCAGCATTTTGTTTGCTTTACTAGCTGCAGCATCACATTGAAGGCTTACGTTCATTTTGTGGTCAATCGTGACTCCCAAGTCCCTTTCATCCGTAGTGCTAGCCAACATAGCACTGCCCAGCCTACAAGCAAGCTGCAGGTTTTTCCTCCCAAGGTGGAGAAACTTGCATTTTTCGATGTTAAATCAGGTTTTCATCCACCCTTTTCCTGAGCCTGTCAAGGTCTGCCTGGATCACCCTCCTGTGCTCAGGTGTGGACATTTTACCCCAGAATTTGGTGTTGCTGGCTAACTTGGCCAGTCCACTTCCGACACCAATGTCTGCATCATTAATGAAGATGCTAAATAGTATAGGCCCTAGGACAGAGCCTTGAGGGACCCCACTGGTCACAGTGCACCATGACGATTGACTTCTGTCAACCACCACCCTCTGGGTCCTACTGCGGAGCTAATTCCCCAGCCAACAGATCATGGTGAGGCTGAGGCCACAGTTAGCCAGTTTTGCCAAGAGGTAATCATGGGATACCAGATATATCTTAACTTTAAAAAAGCCTTCTATGACATCAATCTCTTCCCCCTTGTCCAGATGATAGGTCACCTGGTCATAAAGGAAATGAGATTGGTCAAGCAAGACCTACCCACAACAAACCCGTGCCGACTATCCCTCAGGATGTTGCCATCAGCCAGTCTGTTAAGGATGGCTTCTTTGATAATCTTTTCTAAGACCTTCCCCAGGATAGAGGTCAGGTTGACGGACCTGTAGTTTGCTGGATCCACTTTCCTCCCTTTTTTGAAGATAGGCACCACATTGGCCTTCTTCCAATCTTCAGGCACTTCACCAGAGAGCCAGGAGTTCTCAAAGATCCATGCCAGGGGCTGAGCCATGATTCTAGCCAGTTCCTTGAGTACCCTAGGGTGTAAACTGTCAGGGCCAGCTGACTTGAAGGTGTCCAGCCTCTCAAGGTGATCCTTCATGAGGTCAGCATTGATGGTGGGTAAGGAATCGCCCTCACCCTGTCCCGTAATGGGCAGGGGCGTCCCATGGGACTTGTGAAAGACTGATGCAAAACTACCCATTTAGCAAGTTTCCTTTTTCCTGGGCATTGGTTGTCAGTTGTCCCATCTGGTTTAGCAGGGGTCCAATGTTGCCAGAGGAAAGGCAAGGGCAACATATCTAAAAAAAGGACTTTTTATTGTCCCTGATATTTGTAGCTAGTTGGAGTTCTGTCGCAGCCTTGGCTTTCCTGGTTCGCTCCCTGCAGGTCCAGATCAGTGCAGAGTATTCTTCGTTGGAGGTGGATCCAGTCCTCCATCCTTTGTAGGCCTTTCTTTTTAGACGCAGGAGGTCCGCTAGTTCCCTGAAGAGCCAAGGGGGCTGCTGTGCCCTTTTGCTGCCTTTCCTCCAAGATGGGATAGACTTTGTTTGCGCATCCAGGATTGCTTTCTTGAGGAGCAACCACTCTTCCTGAACTCCCATCCCCTTTGGGCTGTGGTCCTTTAGGGCCTCACTGACAAACCTTCTGAGCTTGTCAAAGTCAGCTTTCCTGAAGTCGAGGACTTCTGTATTGCTGACTGACTTGCGGATGGTGAAGGTGATCAGCTTGTGATCACTGTCATCCAGCTTCCCTTCAATCGTTAGGTCACTGATTAGGTCGTCCCTCGTTGCCAGTGCCAGGTCGAGCAGAGCTTTACCTCTCGTCGGCCCGTAGACTTCCTGTATCAGATGGAGCTCATCCACACACGAGAGAGAGCTTTGTGACCACTCAGATTTGGCCAAGTGCTCTTCCCATGAGATGTCTGGGTAGTTGAAGTCTCCCATGACAACCATGCACCAGGAGCGTGCAGCCTCAGTCAATTCCCTAGCGAACTCCTGGTCAAGGTCTTGATCCTGGGTAGGGGGTCTGTAGTAGACTCCCACCATTGTGTCCCCACAAATTTTAACCCAGAGGGTTTCCAGTCGTCCACCCTGGGCACCAATGTTGCCTTGCAGGGACACGTAGCTTTCCTTGACATACAGAGCTATACCCCCACTCCTTTTGTCCACTTGATCTCTCCTGTACAGGGTATAGCCATCTATATCTGTGCCCCAGTCATGGGTGGAGTCCCACCAGGTCTCTGTTATCCCTATGACATTGTAATTATTTGTGTTAAGCAGGAGGACAAGTTCCTCCTGTTTATTTCCCAAGCTCCTGGCATTTGTGTACAGGCACGCAAGTGTCTCTTTGGGGGCCCTTGCCTTGCCTGCAGCTCGTTCCAGGGCTGGGGCAGGGGGTGGGCTCCCTTAAGTTCCTTGGCCTGCTGGCTTTGCAAGAGTTGCTCAGTGGGCCAGCAGTGGCGGTAGTTTCCCTATCCTCCGGCGGGCTTAGTTTAAAGCCCAGTGGAGCAGGTCAGCCAGTGTGGCTGAGAAAAGCCTCTTCCCCAGCGAAGAGAGGTGGAAGCTGTCCCTTCCCAGCAGCTTACTGCCTCTCTCACCAAAGAGTGGACTGTTGTCATGGAAGCCAAAGCCTTCCCGATGACACCAGCGCTGCAGTCTTTGGTTCACTACCTTGATCCTCCTCTCCTTCCTCAGACTAGCCCGAAACCGGGATGATTGCTGAAAACACCACCTGCACCCCCAACCCCTTAAGCCTTGCTCCCAAATCCCTGTAGCACTTCAGGCCCTGGCTGGGAGCGCTCCGAGCCATGTCATTTGTGCCCACATGGATAAGGAGGATAGGGTAGCGGTCAGTGGGTTAGAGGAGCTCAGGGATCTTCTTCACAATGTCTCGGATTCAGGCTCCCGGGAAGCAGCAGATTATCCCCTCAGTCCCCTTCAGGATGGAGTCTCCCACAACAAACACTTTGTGTTTTGTCTTAGGGAGAGCGGGGGTCTCCTGATTCGGCCACCAAAATGGGCCGAATCTCCTCAGAATCAAATTGGCAACCAAAACTTTGCACAGCCCTAACAGGCACCACTCATTCTGCTCACTTGTCCGCACCCACTCTACATCTTGCTGGCAGAGCTTTACACTCAGCACCCATGTGTAGCCCTGCTCCTCTGCCATGCCATCAGCTAACCTCAGGACAGATACCTTCTTAGGACAGAAGGGGAGGTCTACAGGAAGTAATGTCTGGACCCTGACTACAAGCCTGCTTGCTCACCTTCAGCACTTCCTGGGCAGCCAGGCCCCCAAAAAGGGCAGCAATGGGGCTCAGCTCTCCAGCACTCATGCTGGCAAATGCCCGCACCAGATCCTCTTCCAGTGGCTCCTGCTGCACATTCAGGTCTTGAGCCAGCTTCAGTAACTGCTCAGCATCCACCTAGAGAAAAGACATGCATCAGGTGCAGATGGAGCATGGAGGGCACAGACAGGGCATAGACCCTGCTGGGCAGGGGCAGGCATAGGCACAGGCCAGTCGATGGCTAGGCACATACAAGGGCAGATGGTGCATGCATCCTGGGTAGAGCACGCTAGGCAGAGCTGGAATGCCCACTGGAAATAGGGACAAACCCCACTGTGCTGACTAGTGTGGCCAGGAAATGCCAGGGCACAAATGACCCAGAACCCAATGGGACAGCAGCCCTGCAAGAGGTAGATAGGGCCCAGTGTGGCAAGCCCTCACCTGCACTCTTGGCTGGGGAAGTCGACTCTGCTCCTTGCAGAAGACATGCAGTGCCTGGAAGGCCAGGTGCAGGCTATGGTAGCGCTGTTGCTTCTCAGGGTCTGCATCTTTGATCTTCAGGTTGGCCAGGGCTGCTCTCAGAGGCTCCTGTGGGTAGAGAAGTCAGAGTGCTCTATGGTTGAGTTCTGCACTAGGGATCTGAGTACAAGGCCAAAGCAGCACCTGGGCACTCTCACTATTGTACGAAGATTGAGGTAAAAGGAGCAAAGATTGAGGTAAAAGGGGGAAACAAAGGGGCTGTCCCAGTGGGTGCCTGCTATAAAGGGGAAAGAGATGGACAAGATATTTTTTAAGTAACTAACTGAATTTGGAAGTACCCAAATTGCAGGACCTGGTGTTTACAAGGAACTTTAATTACCAGGACATCGGTTGGAAGGAAACTCAGCAGTTAACAGACAGTCCAGCAAGATTTGGGAGTGTGCATGAAACCTTTTGATACAGATGGTGGAGAAACTTTCCCCTAAGAGAGAAGTTCTTCTTGGTTTGATGATGGTTAATAGGATGGAATTGGTTGAAAAACTGAAGGTAAAAATGCATAAAATGCCTAAAAGGCATGACCATGAAATGATGGAGTTCAACACTGCAACAAAATGAAGGAAAGTGCAGCAGAATAGAGCAGCAGGACTTCCAAAAAGCAGACTTTAACAAACTTGGGCAACTGGTGCACAGAATCCTATGAGAGGCAAGTCTGAGGAGAAGGAGAACTGACTGTACTTTTAAAAAGCCATACTAAAGGGCACAAGAGCAGATTATCCCAATGTGATGGAAGGATAGGAAGCACAGCAAGAAACCATTTTAGCTAAAAGGTGAACTTGTCAATAACTTTCAACTTCTAGCTCTATGATTATATGAACTGGGTACTGCCAGGCAGTACCATACCCAGATTCCTGGCATCCCCAGACAAACTTTTAGTATCACACC